GGGCGCCGCGGGACGCTCCGCTCCCGTCCGCCGGAGCCAGGCGGAGGCCGGGCCCGCGCTACACCCACCACACCTCAGGCAAGGGACGGCAGGGCCGGCGACGCTGCGGACAGGAAGGAGCGGCGCTTCCCACGCCACAGGTGAAGCGCGCAATGTGAGCGCGGCTCCCCCGCACCCTCGCAGAGCCCAGCCCGGGCGGCGGCGGCAGGACGGGGCGGGCAGTGGAGCCAGGCGCGCACAACCGCCAGCGTCGCGGAAGCCGAGCGCGGGCGCCGCCCACTTCCGGTTCGGCGCGCCTTCCCGCGCGGCCGCGGTCCGCACTTTCAGCGCGACTGTGCGTCAGGCACTTCCGTCTGCCGCCCCTGCATTTCCTTCACCGTCTCCTCAGTCTAGCCCGGGCCGAATACAGAAATTTAGAAATTGGAGACGGCGTGGGTGTAGAAAGAAGGGGCAGGCAGGGCCCCGGCGAAAGTGCAGGGCGGGATCACCGCGCGCACTTCCCTCCTCGGACGGAAGTCGCCGCGTCCGAATGGGTCCCGGGGCGGGGCGCTGCAGCTTCGGCGCCTCCGTTTGACCCTGGGCCGCCGCTGGGTCCGGTTCTGTCAGCTGCCGGGCCGCCAGGTTCATGTGGAGGTTCTCAGGCGTCCGCGCCGCGCTTCGAGTGCTCCGGGCCGCGGGGGAACAGCGCAGCCTGGCCGAGGCTGCGGCCGAAGGGGCGGCCGGCGCGATGGAGCGAGCCGTGGTGCGCTGCGTGCCGTCCGAGCCCAAGCTGAGCCTGTCGTTTGCGCTGGCCGACGGCAGCCACAAGAACATGCAGCGCGATCAGAGCGAGCCGCTGGGGCGGGCCCTGAGCCGGATCGCGACCAACGCCCTCAAGGGCCACGCCAAGGCGGCCGCGGCTAAAAAGAGCAGGAAGAACCGGCCGAACGCGAGCGGCGGCGCGGACGCGGCGGCGCCGGGACCCGAGCCGGCGGCCGCCCCTGAGCCGGTGGTGAAGCTGTACTACCGCGAGGAGGCGGTGGCCGAGGATGTGCTCAACGTGGACGCCTGGCAGGACGGCGCGGTGCTGCAGATCGGCGACGTCAAGTACAAGGTGGAGCGCAACCCGCCCGCCGTCACCGAGCTGCAGCTGCCGCGCTACATCATGGCGGGCTTCCCGGTGTGCCCCAAGCTCAGCCTCGAGTTCGGGGACCCCGCGGGCTGTCTCTTCCGCTGGTACAGGGAGGCCAGGCCCGCGGCGGCCGAGCCCGAGGCCGGGGGCGCCTCCTCCGCGCCGCCCCCTCCGCCGCCCGCCGCCTGGAGCGACACGGGCGTGCGGGGGCGCGTCTACACCCCGTCCAACGCCGACGTCGGGCTGCGGCTGCGGCTGCACTGCACGCCGGGCAACGGGCAGCGCCTCGGGCCGAGCCGCGAGCTGGAAAGCGTGCGGCCGGTGGAGGCCGGGCCCGGCAGCTGCACGTTTGACCACCGCCATCTGTACACCAAGAAGGTGGCGGAGGACGCGCTCGTCCGCACGGTCTCCTACAACCTCCTGGCGGACGCGTACGCGCAGACCGAGTTCTCCAGGACCGTGCTGTACCCGTACTGCGCGCCCTACGCGCTGGAGGTGGACTACCGCCAGAACCTCATCCAGAAGGAGCTCGCGGGCTACAACGCCGACGTCGTGTGCCTGCAGGAGGTGGACCGCGCCGTGTTCTCGGACAGCCTGGTGCCCACGCTGGAGGCCTTCGGGCTGGACGGCGTGTTCCGGATCAAGCAGCACGAGGGCCTGGCCACTTTCTACCGGAGGTCCAAGTTCAGCCTCGTGGGCCAGCATGACGTTTCCTTTCAGGAGGCCCTGGAGTCCGACCCGCTGCACAGAGAACTGCTGGAGAAGCTCGTTTCGTATCCGCTGGCGCAGGAGAAGGTGCTGCAGAGGTCTTCGGTCCTGCAGGTGAATAGCTCCGCCTGGCTCTGCGTAAAGTCAGGCGTTCGGAGGGCCCTGCAGGGGCGGGCTGCAGGCACGATAGTGACGTGAGACCGCCCAGCTTTCACGCTGTCCTCTGTTGACCCTGGTACCCTCGGTAGTTTGCTTTTCATTCATTCATTCATTCAGTACGTTATTTAGCGACTGTATCGTGCCTGCCACGCTGCACGTTGCCTTCGACACGACAAACAAGGACTTTCGTAATGCTTACAGTCGAGGGAAACCCATGCTAAATACAAGAATAACAGTGGTAGCTGATTTTTTTTTCTTACTGTATTTGTCAGTGGAGCCGGGCGTGATGGCGCACGCCTGTAACCCCAGCACTCGGGAGGCTGAGGCAGGAGGATCGTTGCGAGTTCGAGGCCAGCCTGGGCTACAAAGTGAGCTCAAGGCCAGCCTGAACTGCATAGCGAGACCCTGTCTCAAAAAGACCAAAAAAACAAAACAAACGAAAATATGTATATATTTGTCAGTGACTGACACATTTTAAAGTATTTAAGATTTAAGTGCCTGTTGTGTGTTAGAAGCATTTCATATCTATTACCTAGTATTTTGTATCATTGGCTCTCTGAACATAGTTCCTGCCGGAACCTCCTGTGTGGGGCATGGCTGTCCCATGGGGCGGCTTGTGCCACTGGTGATACTGGACCACTGTTTTAGTCATGCATGGGACAGTCACGCATGCACCACCAGTGCTTCAAGATGACTGTTCACAAGACATGACTTACGGCCCCATCGTAAACATGTTCATCTTTACAGTAATCTGTATATTCCTGTTTTATACATGTTATCCTTCCAAGTTTATAAATGAGAAAATGGTCAGATTTACTTACCGGGTTCACACAATTATGGAGCCAGGATTCTTGGCGAATTGATTATGTTGTACTTACCATCATCACCGGGCAAGGTATTAATGCTGTCTACTTTACAGTTATGATCACCTATAAAAACGTTCATTGCGTGTCCATAGTTTTTAAGCAGTTGGTTTTATTCATACTAAAAGAGTAGCAATGAAAAAAATATTTTAAAAAGAGCCGGGCGTGGTGGCACACGCCTCTGATTCCTGTACTCTGGGGAGGCTGAGGCAGGAGGATTGCCATGAGTTCAAGGCCAGTCCAGACTACATAGTGAGTTAAAAGCCAGCCTGAACGACATATACTCTGTCTCCGAAAAAACCAAAAACCCAGGCATAGTGGCACACACCTGTAATCGCAACACTTGCGAGGCTAAGGCAGGAGGACTGCTGTGAATTCAAGGCCAGCCTGGACTACATAGTGTGTTCAAAGTCAGTCTGAACTACATAGTAAGACCATCTTAAAAAAAAAAAAAAATTAAAGAGCAGCTGCCATTTTTTTTTGAACACCTAGTGTTCTGTGCACGTCTGTGTAAGCTCATGTAACTGAATGCACACAATCCTCCATGAGGGAAGGATACGGTCTCGTCATCATTATGAAACTGGCTTAGAAAAGCGTCTCTCTGCTCTAAATAATAAATATTCACGCATAAGTCTGCCTGATTCCAAAGCCTGTGCTTACGGACTTAAAACACTTTTTCCAACCTTAACATTGTCATCTAGAAGGTATTTTTATAAGAGCTTTATATGTTGGACAGTTATTAAAACGTTATGATGGATCCTATCCACATATATACTAAAACATCAGATTTTATAATTGCTGGCTTCATCACGAAAAGGAAATGGAATAAAGTGTCAGTTCATCGTATTAGATAAAAACGTTTAGGAGATTGGTTGACACCAACTGAATTCTTGCACTTTATTTTAGGTTTCAGTTCTCCAGTCTACAAAGGACGCTTCTAAAAAAATCTGTGTTGCTAATACGCATCTCTACTGGCATCCCAAAGGTAAGTTTTATGTATTTGGCTTCACAGTGACTTAAACAAGGTGAGAATTTGTGAAAATGCTGTTACACAGCATATACAGTATCTTGACTTACCCAGCTACTGTGGTTTGTGAGGTTGAGGGTATTTTTTTTCTTTTCTTTTTTTACTTACAGACAATTTTAAAAGGACTTTTATTACTGTTTTTTGTATTCCTAGGTGGGTACATTCGTCTCATTCAGATGGCCGTAGCCTTGGCTCACATAAGACATGTCTCATGTGATCTGTACCCTGGCATTCCTGTTATATTTTGTGGAGACTTCAATAGTACGCCATCAACAGGAATGTATGAGTTTGTCATAAATGGCAGCATTGCAGAGGACCACGAAGATTGGGCTTCCAACGGGGAAGAGGAAAGATGCAACATGTCTCTCAAGCATTTCTTCAAACTGAGAAGTGCTTGTGGTGAACCTGCTTACACAAATTACGTTGGTGGCTTTCATGGGTGTCTAGATTACATTTTCATTGACTCAAATGCTTTAGAGGTTGAACAGGTGATTCCGTTACCTAGTCATGAAGAAGTTACCACCCACCAGGCCTTACCTAGTGTTTCCCATCCCTCTGATCACATAGCTCTTGTATGTGATTTAAAATGGAAATAGATTTGTTTAATGGCATTTGTTCAAAATCTGAAAAGGAAATTACTTTGTAGGAAACTTAATGTAACGCCTAAAGAGAACATCTAGCCACTAATATAAAAGCTTACGTCGTTCCCTAGTAATGTTCCAGATGTCTTTGTCACAAACTATTCATCATGTTTGCATTGTATAGTTTCTCTACCTTTTTTCCATAAACTTGGAGGAAAAACAAATATATTTATGACTAGCAAGAAGAAAATTGAATTGTGTACATTTTTAGCAGAGTTTTTTTTAAGCTGGTAATTAAGAATTTTTAAAATACCCTTTGAATGATCTTTCATAACACATTTCAAATTGAATCATGTTTCTATAATTAGGGGGAAGGAAATGCATACGAGTTAAGGTGGGAGACAAGTTCTGACACTTGGAATAACTGGAGGGTCTACCTCTACCTCAATTTGGTTAGCAATTTACTACATCTGTAGAGCTTTAACAAAAGATTAAAATACAGCATCACCGATCCTTATTGCTTCTTCATTTTTCAGCCAAGGAGGTGTTTGTGTTCTGTAGTTTTTAGTACATGGTGTACATGGACATAACTTACATTCTCATTCATACTGAAGCTCGTTTTAATTTTTAGGATGTAAGCACAGTTTAATATTCAAAGTGAGTAATGACATATTCATTCTCTACCAGCACAGGCTGGAAACTTTGGATGAAACAGTGAGCATTTCTGCTGGGCGTAGTGACACACGCCTGTAATCCCAGCACTCGGGAGGCTGAGGCAGGAGGATCGTTGCGAGTTCAAGACCGGCCTGGGCTACAAAGTGAGCTCAAGAGCTCAAGACCAGCCTGAACTGCATAAGGAGACCCTGTCTCAAAAAAGACAAAAAAAAAAAAAAAAAAAAAAAAAAAACCAAAGCATCGAGCATTTCTATGCTAGAAGTATTTTCAAAAGTTTGTTTTTATAAATAGGAAAAAAGCTAGTAGGGCTTTTCAGCATATCTGAAATAAAAACTATTCTTTTTATAGATGAGCATCCTTGAGTTACAAAACAACACTGTATATATAATTCATTTTAAAAGAAAATTTAAACAGGAAGCCAGACTCTTGAAAACTAGAAGAGTTGCACTGATTACTGTCCAGAGGGATAACCGAGCTTCACTAACTCAACATGATCATCATACTTTATTTTTAATCTTTTAGTTGTTGCTTTTAATGTTTAGGAGAACTGTAGTGTAATCTCATATTCTGCATTTAATTTCTAGCGCAGATAGTAAAAGCCTACTCATCTCAAGAAAAGCTCTGAGTCATCAAAGCCCATGTTCCAAATTCTTTAATTCTGAGGTTAATACCATAAAAAATTAGTATCTTGATAACACAGTCTGTGCTTTCACATCCCGCTGTCAAATGTATTGTTAAACTCTTACTTTAGTATGTTTGAGAATGAGGTTTTACCAGCACTTCAGATTGAACCTTGAAGTACCTGAAAGAAAAGATTCAGGAGGCAGTTTCTTGGGATCTTATTTAGAAAAGACCATAAATGAATAAATTGATGCTACCAAATTGTGCCTTTGTAAGTACCATTTTTGTGAGAATTTTAACAGCAGTTTATAAACATGAAAATAAATTAAAACCAGAATCATTCTTTTCACAATATACTGGGCGGGGGATATATAGCTCAGGGCACAGCGCCTGCCTGGCAAGTGCAAGGTCATGGGTTTGATTCCTGGTACCAAAAAATAAAAAATAATGAACAATATACTTTTTCCTTCCTTTTTTTTTGTTTTTGTTTTTTTGCGATAGGGTCTCAATATGCAATTGAGCCTGGCCTAGAACTCACTATGTAACCCAGGCTGGCCTTGAACTTGTGATCCTCCTGTGTCAGCCTCCGGAGTTTTGGGATTGCACAGCCATACCCAGCTTCCTTTTAAAATGTGTTTTTGGTCTGCTTTCAAATATATTGAGAGACCCATATGTGAACTTGAAAGAAAACACTTAAGTTTCTCAGCAAAAAGTGTGATTATAAAGAAAAAATTGTAACATAATTACCCATGCCCGTGAAAAAAGCATAATACAGGTTCTATATTGACATCACGGCTGGCTTGACTATACATTGGTCAGAAAAATTCTAAGCACTTATAAAACATTCCATGTCCTAAATCCTTGAATGTTTCCTGCTAAGAAAGATACTGCAGGATAGTGGGATAATGGAATGTTATTGTGAAGTGCTATATACTCTAGGCAAACCTCCAGTATAGAGAGATACGTTAAAATGACAAGTCCAAGGATAGGGAACACTAAGAAAATTACATTAATAGCATACTCAAAATTCCCTTATACTCATGATGAAGTGTTGTTCAGAAATGCTGAAAGCGATCTTTATGATTGAATTTTGCTCACATTTGGAATTTTTAATGCCTTGAATATGAAGAAACACGGGAAGTACGGCACTGTCTGGTAAACCACATTTTATGTCACAAGTTCTTGCTGTAGAATTAACATTTCAAAAATTTATATTGACTAAATAATATTGAGAACATGTTATTTTGTTAAAATGAATTCTTACAGTTGCCACTACAGACAAGTACACTGATAATTCGTAATTCATTAGCACACAAATCATTCCTGGCTACAGTGTGTGTTGCTTCTAAAATTCTGAGTCTTGCCAAGCTTGGTGGTGCACACCTGTAATCCCAGCACCCGGGAAAGCCAGGAGGATCACCGAGTTCGAGGCCAACCTGAACTACATAGTGAGACTCTGTCTCAAAATGAGTACTAAAATCAGTTGTTTCACATTTCCAACAATTTCACTGAAAGGTGACTCTTCTCAGAATGATAAGGTATGATCTCATCAGAATGTGTTGGTTTCATGCTGAAGAAAGACCTCAGGAACATTAAATACAGGGAGAAAAAGGTCAGACACAGTTGTGGGAAGATCTCCCTGGTGGAAACTGACATCTTTAGACCTTACATTCTCTAGACAAAGATTTCCTACAAACTAATTTGAGACAAATCCAAAATCCATATGCAATGAGAGATAAAAGTTTGCACTATTAGCTTATCACGTGACCCACAGGACAGCTCATTAGGGAGAAATCTCTGAAATATAACCACTTTCTAAGTACAACTAAAGGCATTTAAATGTTTTGAAAATTTTAATATTTTAAGATAGCACTCAAAACACTAGATTTCATCTGAGAGGAGGAAATAATTTTAAGAGCTTTGACCATAAAGAGTAGGTTCTATGGTCCCACTTTATAGAAAAAGGACATACCGTTTTTTAATACTGAAGGTACTACCAGGTGTGATGGTACAAATCTAATCCTAGCTACTCTGGAGGCTGAGGCAGGAGGACTGCAGGCTGGAGGGCCAGCATGGGCAACTCAGCAAGACCCTGTGTCAAAATTTTTAAAAGGCTAGGGGTACAGCTCAGCACTAACGCCTAAACATGGACTACAGTAGGCCTTGGGTTCTATCCTCACTGTTATGAGGTGGTAATTAGAACCGTATTAACTTTGGTGATTTTTTAAAGCTAATTTCAAAATAACAATACTGCATTCTGAGATAATAAGCATTTCTGAGATAAAATTCACATGTTAACTATTTTACCATGTATTACTCAGTTATATGTAGTATATTAATGTTCTGCAACTATCTAGTTCCAAAACATTTTCATGACCTCAAAAGCAAAGTCTACCTATTATACACCAATCCCTATTCCAACCACTCCTCAGCTCCTGATACTGTCTCTGCAACTATGGATCGATTTTGGGCATTTCATAAACATGGATTCAGTATATAATCTTTTGTATCTGGCTTTATTAGCTGGGTTTTAAGGTTCATCCTTGTTATAGTATGTATCAGTACTAATCTTTTTTATGGCTGAATAATATTCTAGTAAATGGGCATACCACATTTTGCTTTTCTAAATTGAGTGGACATGTAGATTTCCATGTTTCAGCTGCTGTGAACATTTGCACACAAGGTGTTGGTTTGAACATATATTTAAATTATTTTGGGTACATTCCAAAGGGTAGATTGCTGGGTCATATGGTAATTCTCTTTAACCTTTTGGAAAACTGCCAGGTTTCCACAATGGCAGCATTATTCTACATTCCCTCAGTGATGTAACAGAGTTCCATTTTCTTCACACTGTCACTAATTTATTTGCTTTTTTAAAAACAGCCACCCTATGAATGGATAAAGAAGACTTTTTTTTTTAACACAACAGAGTACTACTCTGCCATAAAGAAGGATAAGCTCGAGACATTTCTAGCAAAATGGGTGCACCTTGAGACCATACTCTTAAGTGAAATCAACCGGGCACACATGTATAAACGCCACATTGCTTCCGTGTTGTGAGAAACCAAAAGTGTAAATAAGGACCAAAATGTTTAACAGATATTGGGAAATGGGAAGAAAATGTTCAAATGAGAAGGGGAACAAGGGAGGGGGAAGGAAAAAGGAAAGAAAAGACAAGGAAAAGAAAAAATGGAAACCTTTTGTAAATTAGGAGTGGACGAGGGGCTGAAGGTAAGGGAGGAGAATAGGAAAAAGCAGCAAGATATATTGTGTATAGGTACAAACTATGATGACTGTTTTCATTATGTATACCTAAAATGTACCAATAAAGTGTATTTTAAAAAGAATTTTTAAAATAAATAGCCATCCTAGTGGATATTTTTTTTTTTTTTTTTGGTTTTTTTCTCCGGTACCGGGAACCGAACTCATGACCTTGCGCTTGCCAGGCAGGCGCTTTGCCGCTGAGCTAAATCCCCAGCCCCTCCTAGTGGATATTAAATGGTACCTCCACCAATGCATTTTTAACTTTAGTTGAATTATCTTTGTTGCAGTCATGAACTAATTATTCACAATGGTTTACCCATCCTATTTTTCTAGAGCAATTCCTACTGGGAATTGAACTCATGACCTCGCACTTGCCAGGCAGGTGCTGTGCTGCTAAGCTATAGCCACAGCCTCCTACTTACTTATATAAGGTGTATTGAGTGGGAGGTTTGGGAAGACTAAAGTTACAAAAATACCACAGCAAACCTGGCGTGGGGCATACCTGTAATCCCAGCACTCAGGAGGCTGAGGCAGGAGTATTACTGTGAGTTCAAGACCAGCCTGAACTGCACAGTGAAACCCTGCCTCAAAAAAAAAAAAAAAAAAAAACCAACCAAGAATCCCTAAATACTAATTCCTGAGAAACTGAGATGGCTAAATATTATAATGCAATCATTAAAAAAAAAAATCATACTCTGCCTGTTAGAAAATCATTTTGAAAACCCTAAGTTCAAGAAAGGCTTTAAATTTTAAAAATTGAACTAATAACACTTCATAAGGAAAAAAATTTATTAGCAATTTTGAATGTATTAAAGCAAAGCCAAATGCTAAAATTCTATAAATGATAACATGTTAAACTTATCAGTTCAGCCTGATTCATTCTATGACAACAAACTATTGGTTGCCAAGATTTTACTCATAACTTTAAATTTCCCTGTGAAACTTCAACAAAC